ATTTAAAAAAAAATGTTCAAAATACCACGTTTTAGTTTGGGCTTCGGTCAATGGATGACTGAAACAATGCTACAGATTTTGTTTTTGTTTTTTTATTATTTAAAAAAAATATATAATATTTATTATTATTTTAAATGTTAAATTATTTTTTAAATATTAAAATTTATTATATGATTTAAAATATTAATAAATAAATAATTTAATTAACTTAATTAGTTTTATAATATTATTAAATATTTTCCACATTATCTAATTAATTATTTAACTAATTAAATTAATTTGCTTATTAAATAAAATTATAAATAAAGGCAATTTTATTAATTCTTATGAGTGAAAAAAGTACATCATTTTTGTCTACGTAAATGACCGTCAGGTCCACATATTTTACCCTTTCTTACTCGTTTCCAGATGCCTACGTAAAGCTTTTTTACACATTTTACTCTACGTAAATACATCATTTTTTTTTCTATGTAAAGCTTTGAATCAACTTTGATTGAGTTGATTTCTGCAACTTTTGCGAAACCTGCTCGTTCCAAATACGGTTTGATTGCATCACTTGGTGCATCGATAGCATGACAATGTAGTCTAAATCTCTCGCTGTCGGACTGTTTCAAATATTGAAAAATAAATACAAACTTGATGATGTAATATTAAACACAAGCGTGAAGAAAAAAAACTTACATATGCGGCAACATTGGTCGGTGTTCCCCGATGATTTTCTCTCATCTACAACATTGCCATTTAGAAGTATTAATTTAGAATGTTATTTTTTTCAATGCATATGAATAAAAGCTTCTTGCTATTTATAAGAAAAAGAGATGCATCCTAATACTACATGAGACATACAATTGTCTGTTGGAAAACCACATGCCTAATACTACACTGCACCCTACTATGATTCCTCTGCACCCTAATACCTAACTGCACCCTATTATGATTCCTCTGCACCCTAATTCTACCATCTGCAACCTAACTCTACTATTTGCACCCTATGCCATGCAATGACAAGCCTTCAATGGTTCGCCCTTTGGATGGCCGAACCTATGCACATTCTTCATAGGCTCGTCCTTTGGATGGACGACCCTACACGTGGGGTTCAAGGGCTCTTCCTTTGGATGGACGACCCTACACATAGTCAGCATGCAGTCATCCTTTGGAAGGACGACCTTGCACGTGGTCAACATGCACAAATGGACTATATATTTTGCATGCAAGTATTGTAGACTCACATCCAACTCCCGCACTGTCTGTATCAAAGCACCGTGATGACAAATAGAAATACAATGGTCACCATGCACTATAATGGTTTCATGTTCACTGATCAAAATACCATTTTTTCATTCAATGGAACAAATACGGTGATGTTCAAACTTCATCGAAGTTCTGATATCCTTCATCTAAAAGAAAGAATCGAAAAAAAAGTGCATCGTTCAGTTCAGGATATTTCTTACCGTCAACCATTACCTAATGGGATAGATGGTGGTGTCTTCTACATAATAATGCAGATAGATACAGACATCGCAGTCAAATCAATGTTTCAATGTCATTACACAATGCCTCATTTGAAGACGATTGAGTTATATGTTCGCCTTGATGACGAAGCATATCCAACACAATCATCAGATTCACATCAATACGGAGTGAGCCAAACAACTGATGAAGAAATAACGCAAAATAATGAACCTTTCATCTGGGACGAGGAGGTTGGTGAATACAGTGATGATGAACTCGATGATGTTCGCTTTGAAGATCTATTCGGTGATGACGATTAAGAGGATGTTTGCTTTGAAGATCTACAGGTAATAAATACTCAACCCATAAATCTGTACAATCCACCAGTGCATATGTCAAACATATGTATGGAGTCTTCTCAACCCATCTATATTTTTGAAAATGACAAACCAAACCATATTGGTGAAAACTTGGAAGTAGGTTTGGTGTTTGAAAATAAGGAAGCATGTGTTCTTTTTTTACAATATTGACATATTAGTAACAACCTTGACTATGCAGTATATAAATTCGATTAAGTAAGGTATATAATAAAATGTAAGAACCCACAATGCATCTTCACATGTAGAGCTGCATTGCGTAAAAAAAACACATTATGGGAGATTGCTACTATAAGCAGATCACACACTTGCACAACAACTTCTTTGTTATAGGATCATAGAAAAATACGGTTATACAAGCCCATACTGGAAAGCTTGAATTGCAAAGATTAAAGCTGTAGAATCACTTTATGGGAATTGGGAGACGTCTTACAATGACATACCACAATGGTTGTTGGTGATGAAGACATATCTTCCTGGAACTGTTATACAGTTGGAAACATTACCAATTATTACAGAGGACAGATCCCAATTGGGTGCCAAACAAAAATTTCACCGACTTTTTTGGGCATTTGAACCGTGTATCCGTGGTTTTACTTACTGTAAACCGATTGTGCAAATTGACGGAATCTGGTTGTACGACAAGTACAAAGGGACTTTGTTGATGGCTGTGGCACAAGATGGAAATGGTAACATTTTCCCGATAGCATTCACATTGGTTGAAGGTGAGACAGAGGATGGTTGGAGTTTCTTTCTTAGAAATTTGAGAATGAACGTGGCCCCTAGACCAATCTTTGTCTAATATCCGACCGACATCCATCAATCAAGAGTGCTTACGATGATCTTGAAAATGGGTGGCAGTTTCCTCCATCTTCACATGTTTACTGTATCAGACACATTGCGCAAAACTTCATGTGTGAGTTCAGAGACAAAGAACTACGGAAAACAGTTCTCAACATGGGTATGTCTACATCTTCACGAGTTGATGCTTCAATTTTTATTTATTGACTTATTGATTTTCATATGTTTTACTGAACATTTTGTTTAAACATTTTCATCTACAGGATATGCACTAACAGAGGCAACATTTAACTACTACAGGGATGAAATACGAAGAACAAATAGAGCTACTTTGGAGTGGATAAACAATATTCCTAGAGAGAAGTGGTCGAGGGCGTTCGACGGAGGACAACGGTGGGGACACATGACAACAAATTTGGCCGAAGCTATGAACTCCGTACTTAAGGCTACCTGTAACCTTCCTATTACAGAATTGGTCAAGTCAATGTTCTATCGTCTGAGATCGTTATTTGGAAAACGAGGACACGATTGGACAAAACTCTTGGCATCCGGTCAAACTTTCACGGAAAACTGTAACAAGGGAATGACCGACGAAGCGAGTAAATCTAGCAGCTATAATGTCATTCAGTTTGATCGCGAGAGATTCTGTTTTATGGTTGCCGAAAACATTAATCAACGCGATGGCCGACCATTAGGTACTTTTAGCGTTGATCTCAAGAGAGGGTGGTGCGATTATGGGAGGTTTCAGACATTTCATTTACCTTGCTCCCATGTAATCGCAACACGTGCCAGTATACGACAGGACCATAACATGCACATACCAGATGTTTTCAAGGTTCTAAGTGTATTCAAAGTCTACAACAAAAGCTTCCTTGGACTTTCACACCAGCAAAATTGGCCAACATATGAAGGATTCACTCTTTGCCATGACGAGACAATGCGAAGGAATAAGAAAGGACGTCCAAATAGTACAAGAATTAGAATTGAAATGAACAATTTTGAGAAAGAAAAGAGAACATATGTCGAGAAATTGGTCATATGCGTAGAAAATGTTTGAACGTCGCAGGCCCGTCAAAATTATTTTATATGTTTTTCAAATTATTTTCCAAAATATTTCTTAAATTATAATGTCTAATATATAAGTTATTAATATTTTAAATTATGTAGTGAGTTTTTAATATTTAAATGATAATATTTATTATTTTATATAATTTAATTAGTTAAATAATTAATTAGATAATATGAACAAAATTTAATAATATTATAAAATTAATTAAGTTAATTAAATTATTTATTTATTAATATTTTAAATCATATAATAAATTTTAATATTTAAAAAACAATTTAATATATAAAGCAATAATAAATATTTTATATATATATATATATATATATATATATATATATATATATATATATATATATATATATATATATATATATATATATATATATATATATATATATATATATATATATATATATATATATATATATATATATATATATATATATATATATATATATATATATATATATATATATATATATATATTTATTTAAAATAATAAAAAAAAATTTGTAGCATTGAGTCGGCCGTCTATTGACCGAACTCTAACTGTCATTTTTCATCTTCAATGGATCGTCCATTGAAAGAATGAATCCAAATTAAAAATATGACATTTTAGACATAGGATCGTCCATTGAAAGAATGAATCCAAATTAAAAATATGACATTTTAGACATTTTTTTAAATAATAACATATTAGTATTTTTTTTTTTATTTCAAATAGTGGCACATGCGTGAAAAAGTCAATTTTTAAAGAAATATCATCTTAAAAGGAGAAAATGATCTAGAATAAAACTAAAACATAAAAAGATACAGTTTTCAAGGCATGAAAAGCTTTTGCTTTTTCAACAAAATCTTGTTTTGCCCAAATAAATAAATAAAACAGATCTTGGTCAATCAATATTTCTCACATAGTATAATTAACATTAAAATTTGTTTTACAAAAATTGATATATCTGTTTTATAAATAACTAATATTTTATTTTTATATATTTTTCAGTTTTTTACTATTTTAAGTAAATATTTTTTTAAAATTTTCGGACAATAATTAATGTTTTAAAGAATTGTGTTACTAATATAGTAAAAGAAAAAAAAATACTTTTATTTAATTTATAATAGAACAAAAATTCAATAGTATTCATGGTAGTTGTCAACAAACCATTCTTCGTCTGAAATTCATTCCACGAACTTTCCCCTTTTTCATATCAATAAATACCCACCAAATATTTCGGTCAATAAAAATGCACCCAACACATTTTAAAAATCATTTTTCATATTCACTTCAACTGGTTCACATCAACATGGCATCACAGATTTCTCATCTGGGACCTTGGCACAGCTTAGCCGGCAAAGTTGTCCTCGTCACCGGAGCTTCCGCCGGTATCGGCCGTGATCTCTGTCTCGATCTTGCTCAAGCTGGCTGTCGTGTCGTCGTGGCAGCTCGTCGTGTAGACCGCCTCCAGTCCGTCTGTGATGAAATCAATGGACAGTTACTGTCACAGCAATCGGGAAACCTCCGTGCAGTTGCGGTGGAGCTTGATGTCTCAGCCGACGGTGCCGCCATAGAGAAGTATGTGGAGAAGGCGTGGGAAGCTTTTGGACATATCGATGCATTGATTAATAATGCCGGTATCAGAGGTAATTAACTAGAAGTTAAATAAATATTTTTTACGACTTTTTATATTAAAAAAATGTTGTTTTCTATAGCTTTTTATGTTAGTTCTCTTTCTAGAGTTGAATGAAAAGTTTATAATGACTTTTCTTATATTTAATATAAAAAAAAACTGTGAACAAATGATTTGATATATGACATGACAAGGTATAAAAAATACTATCGGTTTACTATCATAGATAAATTTAACTTTTTAAACTAAATATATTAAATTTGTTTATAATAGTGAACGTAGCGTATACTTTGGTACATGAAAAAATAGTCTTTTATTTAGGTTTTAGTATTTTTTGTGCGACTATTTTGCTCTAATGTGTTAATTTTGTATAAAAAATAAATTATGAGAAAATAACAAAATTATTTTATTATTCTACAAAATTTCGTTATTGTTAATTTGAAATGTTTTTGTTATTTTCTTTCAATGGTACTATTTTTTTGAGGCAACACGTTATGCCTATCCAAATATTTATCAAATCATTAAAAATACATTATGATGGCTTATTGCATATGTGTGAAGAAATCTTTATGATGTAACCTTCACTCAGACGTTTTGCAACAGTAAAAAGGAAAAGTGTGACACAAAAACTTTATTTATATTTGTTTATATTTTATCTAGTTTTAAATAGCCACTTATCTAAAGTTTTATACTTTCATGGAGTATTAAATTAAATCTGTTCAGCTTTTGTTTTGTTCTTAAGAGGTATCAATTAAAATATGAATAATGTTAATTTGTCTTTAGGACACACGTTAAGAAATGTTCAATTTATTTTTTTAAAATTTTAATGTTTTAGGCAACACTTGTTAGTATTTTTCTTTTAAATTTAATCATTTATTGTAAAAAGATTTGTTATTTTCTTTCAAGTTTTAATAATCACTAAAATTTTAGTGTAAAATGAATATTAGGATTCAAATTTGGTGATAGCGTACAATCTAATAAGTTTAGCTTATCTAGTTGGACTAGGATAAGTGCTGTCTAGTGGCACTGGGATAAGCGGGTCCGAACTCGCCTAGAAAAAGATATGCTTAAGGAACACTTGAAGTTGATTTGTAACATCTCATGTTGTTTGATTAATTGTTGTGTTGTGCAGGAAATGTGAATTCACCCTTGGAATTGTCCGAAGAAGAATGGAACAATGTGTTCAAAACAAACATAACAGGTACATGGTTGGTGTCAAAATACGTATGCAAACTCATGCGTGATTCAAACAGAAAAGGATCAATCATCAATATCTCTTCAATCGCTGGCTTAGAAAGGGGGCAATTACCGGGAGGTACTGCATATGCTTGTTCAAAAGCAGGTGTCAACATGCTAACAAAGGTAATTAGCGTCTAAATTAAATCAAATATATCAATTAAACATGCTGTTAATGTTAATGTTAAAATGCTTAAATTAACAGGTGATGGCATTGGAATTGGGGGCATATAAAATAAGAGTGAATTCAATATCACCTGGACTTTTCAAATCCGAAATCACTGAAGGTCTGATGAAGAAAGATTGGTTAAACAATGTGGCCAAAAAAACAGTACCATTGAAAGATTATGGCACCTCAAATCCAGCATTAACTTCAGCTGTTCGGTACTTAATTCACGATTCTTCTGAATATGTGACCGGGAACATTTTTATTGTTGATGCTGGTGTTACCTTACCTGGCTTGCCTATTTTTTCATCACTATGAATACACGAAATCATACATTGTGCACTAGACCAAAATATGACGACTGAAACTTGGATTGAACATTTTTTTTGGCAACACGAGTTATGATGTTCTTACGGTAAAAAAAGAAAATTTTGATATTGTATTAGTTAATGTACGTTACTGCGTGCATTCCCAGTATATTTTCGTAAATTGTTTTGATCAGTGTTGCCAATGGTAAAAATAGTGATTTTTTCAAATTTCGCTATACTAGTGTTATATAATGAGAAATGATATTTCTACACTATATTCCTACATCTATATCGTATTTTTACACCGTATTTTAATGTTCCACAATATGGTAAACAGTGAAATATTAAGTTAAAAAAATCCTAATTATTTAAGATGTTATGTTTGTTGAAAGTAGACATTAAAGAAAACCCTAACTATTAAAGATGTTATGTTTGATGAAATTAGACATAAAAGATCAAAAAGTTTGTTATATATATATATATATATATATATATATATATATATATATATATATATATATATATATATATATATATATATATATATATATATATATATATATATATATATATGGACGGATCTACTTGAAAGACATTGGGGTCACATGCCCCCACAAGCTTCTAAAGTACAACATATATAATATTAATGATCCTATATATTTAATTTGATTATATAATATAAACACAATAGTTTGAAACATAAAGACAATAGTTTGAAAGGTATTTCATAGATGAGGTTTTCTAAGACAATAATATTTTTTTATAAATTATGTTAATAATACTTTTATAATATTAGCGGGTGCAAAATTTATGGAGTATGATAAATTTCTTGAATGTCATATTTCTATTTCACTCAGGCAGGCCTGAACACCTTGATAGGTCGGCCTATTACTTTCATAGGCCGATCTATAACCTTCCAAAACTTAAAGTTTTATTTTGCATTATATTTTTTTTTTCATTCTCTTTGCCTATATATATATATATATATACACTCATACATGCACCTTCATCTAACAAGGTATTAATAAATTACCTATACGAAACCAGATTACAAAGCATTTCTATCATCTTCAACCTCTCTTCTATGCATACACACAATTGAACTACACATAATCATTTTTCGATTGGGTGACCATCCAGATTAAGGTTGATAACGTCCAATTAGGTTAGTGTAACTGAGAATATTGGATTGAGATATTTGTGTGTTTCAAATAAGAAAACCAAGACGGGCTTTCCTTCAAGATCAGTGTGTTTTGAACGTTTTGGACAAAATCACGTCAACACAGATTCAACCGAGTGATGGCCTTGCGACAAGGTAGTTTCCTTGCAAGGGAGTAGCACAAGACGCTGAGTCGTGTTCGGGAATCTTGGGTTCAACAAGTGCATGCTCAGTATAATCGGAGGATTGTAGCTGCATTATTGGTGAGTTGATCAAGCTTTGATCAAGGGTTTGGAGATGGTTGAATCAACAAGAAACAATAGGGTTTGTGGGGTTAGAATTCTTCACCTCTTGTATAAACATTTTTGCAAATATAAGGTTAATTGCAACTATCTCAATTCGATTTCGGATTAAGGACAAACATACCAATAACGAGGCCAATTGGGGAACTGCCTAAACAAATCTTTGTGTCTCTTTATCGCTTTATTTCTCTTTAATTATTGTTGATACAAGTTATCAATTTCATTGTTGTTTCGATTGAAAATTGTTTTCAACTATCTTTAAAAGTGTTGTTGATATAATCACAATCACTTTGATTGTGATTAGCTCGTTACATCAACAAAACAAATCTAATTTCCAAACGTGATCAATCGCATACAAAGTGTTCGATAAATTGTTTTGTGTATTTTTATTGCTTTGTGTTCATTGGAAATAAGTATTTCGAATAACTTTGCATTTGATTGATCGGTGAATTGATCATTGTTGAATAATTTGTGTTCATTATCATTCCATAAGGTTTACATTGCACATATATCTTTTTGATAGTAGGTTCGGTTAGACGATTCAATTTTAGTTGTTTTTCCGCTGTGCCATACTTTTTGAAAACAAAATTTTGCCAAGAGCTCTAGTTAAATTTGTTATCAATTCACCCCCTCTAGATCGAAGCCTATTGGTTTTAAATTTGTTATCTACTCACCCCCTCTAGATCGAAGCATATCGTCTAACAAGTGGTATCAAGAGATCCAGTTAATTCCGTGCTTGGGATTTACTCTTTAGAAGAATGGCTACCGAACTTAAGAGAGCGTACAATAGAGCACTAATTTTCACCGACGAAAATTATGGCTATTTGAAAGCTCTTATGCGTATTCATGTCAACTCCATTGCTAAAGTCATATGGGCGCTATCCAAAATGTTAAGAATGAAATAAATACGACCAATGCATAAGGTCTAACATTACCTAAACCGGAAGCACAATGTGATGCTAATGATCGGAAATTGTGGTCACATGATTGGAAAGCAAAAACATCTTCACATCCGCTTTGGGTGTTGATGAGTTTTGTCGTGTTTCTCATTGTGAAACCGCCAAAGCTATGCGGGACGCATTAGAGATTCCTCATGAGGGAAATAATGATGTCAAACAATCTAGGATCAACACATTAAATCAAGAGTTTGAGCTGTTCCATATTGAGCATGGTGAAACCATTACGGATATTTGAAAATGGCTCACTCATCTCATAAATCGGTTGAATGCGCTAGGTTATCCTGTTTCCAATGAACTTTCTACTAATAAAGTTTTGAGGCGTTTAAGTAGGGAATGATAGCCCAAGGTCACCTCTACCAAAGAGGCAAATGATCTTAAGTCGCTTGATCTCACAAATTTGTTTGGTAAGTTGGAAGAGCATGAGCAAGAGCTCACTTGCTTAGCAAAATATGAGAAAGAATGTGAAAAGAAAGTAAAGAAAGAGAAAGGGAAAGACAAAGAAGAAGGGAAAAAGTCCATAACTCCAAAGAATTCTAGCTCAAGGTCTTCTTAAAATGAGAAAAGTAATTGTGAATCAAATGATGGCAACAAATCCGACGAAGAAGATATGGCACTGTTTATAAAAAAAGTTAAAAAATACACGTTGAGACATGGTAACAAATATCCCGAAAATACCATGACAAATCAAGAAGGTTATCAAGTTACTCTAAAGAAGATGAGAACAAAAAGGGAAGTCTCGAAGTAATTGTTACAACTGTGGTAAATCTGGTCATTTTAAGTCAGAGTGTCCTAAAATCAAGGAAGAAAAGGGAAGGGCCTGTCACAAACCGTCTAGAAAATGTAGAAGAGCCTATCGAACTTAGGAGAGCAAAAATGACTCATCAAGTGATTATAGTTCTTCCTAAAGTGATGAATCGGCCAAGCTTTTCTATATGGCAAACAACAGAAAGAAAAAAGTTGTAAGTCACTCTAAACTTAAAGCTTCTCATGAGTTAGACTTTTCTCAACTTCAAGAATCTGTTGAAAATATAAAAAGACAAGTCGTGGATGCTTTCAAAATATTAGCTTCAAATAAACATATTATCTCACACTTAGAAGCTAAGATTTCAGAAAATGAAAAGAATATAGAAGTACTAAGGAAATCCATGTTAGATATTCTAAAGGATCAAGATGAGGATCATAAATCCTTATGGTATGGTTGTGAAACTTATCACATTTGGAAAAAGGAGTCAAGAACTCTTAAATCTAAATTAGATAAGGTTTTGCAACCTAAGGTTAATTTTGCTATAGATACTTCCAATCATGACTTACCATCTTATAATCCTTATCAAATGTATAATTATGTAAAAAAGAAGCCAAATAACAAAAGGTTATCTTCTCTTAACTTGTATTATCATTATTGCTACAAAAAGGGTCATACCACTGCTAAGTGCAAATTTATGAAATTTTTTGTTCCTAACGGTGCCTTTAAATGATTGTTGTCGCGGTGAAAATCGAAGACCATAACTATAGAGTTAGCTAGGCTTCACAAATCATAATTCACCATCGATCTTTAACTTATCTAAGGGAAGAGAAAAAGAACGAATAAAACCATAAACATACAATGAAATGCAAAGCAATAAAGAGAATCTAAGGTTCGGGGGTTGGTTATGTTAGACTATGGCACGAATCTAGAAAGGGGGGGGGGGGGTTGAATAGATCCCCAATTAAAATTTGAGTCGGCGCTACCAATTAAAAATTGGTTTAAAAAATGTTTTAAGTGCGGAAGCGGCCGAGGAAAATATAGTCTAAAACGAACGGTTATTGGAAAACCGGATATGCATAAGCCTTTGGATTAATGACAATATGGAAAATAGAATCACAACACTAATCACACTTATCAATTATCTACTTCAGTTGTTAGGATTCCTAGTTCCAATGATCAAAGAGCAAACCAAAACTAGATACACACGTAAGACAATTTTGGTTCAAGCAATTTGTCAAACACTTGGTGTGCAAAACACTCCAAGTGATATTTATGTTGAGTAAGTGATTCTAACTAGCCTAGTACAATGTCTTATTGTACTTTGGAGTCAAAAACAGAGTTTTAACCTCTTACTCAATTGATATCACAATTTTGACAAATAGTGCTTATACAAAAATCACTTATTTTGAGCTATAACGTAAATGCTGAAAAATAGAGAAGACAAATATTTGGTGAGGCAGTTCCCCCGTCGTCCTCGCTTCGGGGTACGTATGCCCTCAATTCTAAAACTAGAATTGAGATAGATTTTATAGATATCACCTGTTGAATGTAACAGTTTATACAAGGATTGAGCAACAAATATACAACAGAAATCTCAATGTGTTGAAAGTTGCTTTCACTCCTTGCCCCTTGATTTAAGATGAATCAAGTCCTCCGATTTGTGTTGATGAACCTCCGATTCCAGCCTCCTTATTGCATAACACGTTGTTGTTCAAACCTTCGGCTCCGACTGATCTCAACAGCAGCAAATCGAACCCGAGATCTTCCCTTCAATATCACTGAATCCGCTACTAGACTTGTGAAGAACACCTCTTCACAATCACCTTCGCTCAGTTGACCCTTGAT